ATAACAGATGGGTTATGTGTGCATGAATAATTAACCAAAAAAATTTTTTTTCCTGATCTGGTTTAATCTCACGGTAGAATATAAAAATAATTTTCCATACAAAATAATCTTTGTTTCCATGACATCATGATGGCGTGAGAATCAATAATTAAGTTCACGTGGAGCACACAGCAAAGCATCTCAGCGCCTTTCATCCCATCTTGGCTCCTGAGGAGATCACAGAACGCTTGGACTGGGATTTCTATGAACCTGATGAGGAACTATAAGCTTCATAATGCCCAATATCATTATAATTGTAATTTGACATATGCGTATGTCTTTATATCCTGTAGTCTTTGAGCACACAGTATGCCATTTCATAAAAATGTTTCACTACCTCAGGTTTTTTGGGGATTTTAGAAGCATAACTTAAAGTTAGCTGCTCCCTGGTGTATAATTGTGACAAGGATTCCAAATTTTTCATTGCAAAAATAAATACAAATAAGATGCTGGTTTTATTAGTTCTATTTTAGTAGAGCTAGGAAGACAACTGGAGGCATAATTATGAGATAAAAATGTTACCCGATTCCTTACTCCATAAAGCTAGTCCAAAGAATAATGGTAGATTTGCTTGGCCTATGCTGAGGTCTGTAGACCTAATAAATCAGTTGCATCTTCAGTAGTTAGGACTAGGTAAAAGGAGAACAAGCATCAAAAGAAAAGGAGAGGGTAGAACTTAATCACAACAAACACTGACATCAGCATGGAGATCTGAAACTGTTATAGTAAGCAGTGTAGTACTGACTTACAAAGCCAACATCAGATCTCTATTAATCCAAATTATGAATGGAGGTTTGGGCGAGACACATGAGAATTTCAAGACAAGTCTCCACGTTTCCAGCTGCCCCTTTTTTGTTCACTGAGAACAGTAACTGCACTGACATCCAATGGGGCTGATTTATTAAAACTGGAGCGTGCAAAATCTGGTGCAGTTCTGCATAGAAACCATTCAGCTACCAGTTTTTTTTTTTTTCGTCAAAGCCTAATTGAACAAGCTGAAGTTAGAAGATGATTGGCTACCATGCACAGCTGCACCAGATTTTGTACTCTCCAGGTTTAGTAAATCAACCGCATTGTTTGCCCTCTGTATGCTGGAGATGTGACCATCCTAATGATGACTTTTTTTTCACATCTTCTGGACTTGTTCATCTGTCTCTCAATTTTGTGATAAATGATGAGGTTCAGACTCACCTTCTGCTCGAACTGAGGGTGTGCTTACTGGGCTTAGTGAATGACCTTGCCCCTACTGTAGCAGAGAGAACATTTCTGGGATTGTCCTTTTTTATGCCTGAAAGTCCATTGCCATGCATTGGAAGAAACTGACCTCACCTTCATTTGCTTTCTGGAAATGCCTCATTAATCCTAATTTGCCTCTCCACCAAAAAAAATAGGTACGATCATAGGGGTAGAAAGAAAAAGTTCAATAAGGTCTGGTCCAGATGAATGAAGGAACCCTCTACGGAGGATGACTCAGGCCTTTGATTTTTTCACTTTCCTACACTCCCCCACCCCCTTTTTTTTTTTTTTTTTTTCCTCACTGTACCGCTTAGGTGTTGTGGACTGGATCATGAGCTATCATGGTAGAGGTTTATTTCTTGTTAGTTTTTTGTGTGTGGTATTACTGGCAACTGTTCCTGCATAGGTTAGGTTGTTGGAGTCTGTACACAATTTTGTTTTCTATGTGAAAAATGCAATCAAGTAGAGTTGCAAAAAAAAAAAAAAAAAAAACTCCATTGCGTGCTCAATTAATTACTCTAGGTTTCTACATATCTGTCACAGACAAAAACTGCAAGTGTGCAGATCTTGGATCTCCATGTCCATTTAAAAGGGCCTTGAAGGTAAATCTAAACCCAATCACGACAATATCAACTAAAAAATTTTGAATCTCTTTTTGTCTTGCTGACAACAGTTTTTACCAGACAGAAAGTAAAGGAAAAGGAAAATTTGGAAATGCAAATAAAAATATGACAAGGCTTTTAACCTAATAATACCTAACTCTAGTGTTCCTGGGGTTAAACAATCCTAAAAAGCAATTTTATTTTGGACTGTTTTGCTGTTGGAGAGTTCCATTCCCTTCCTGTATGTCAATAAAAATATAAATTCAAAAGAACATGGCAAAGTGAGGAGAAACAGGCCCTCTCTGCCAGCAGCATTACAGGTCCTGGGGTTACCAGTGGTCAATAATAAACAAAGGTTCTAATTAATTTGCTACATTATCCAACACTAAAAAATATGTGGCTTCAACATACTTTCATAAGGGCCAGTGTCAAAACGTGTGGGCTTATGATATATATTTTTGTGTTCGTCAAAACTGATATCTTCTCCCATACAACTCCATTATACTCACGGTAATGACACCAAGCATTAAACACAAAAAGCTGCTGCAAGCAGGAGGAGGTCAATTGTTCCAACATTTAATGCATCTGTAAACAAATTAATACACCCCCTGAAATTTTAAGACTCCACCCAAGGAGAAAAAAAACATCTTAAACTGATGGATGTCAATAGCAAGCTGCATTTGTAGCTCAAAGCATAATGACACAGGCCCTACTATCTGCAGCTTTTATGAGTAAAATAATAATACATTGGTGATTCTGCCATACAGGTCCATATAATCAGGCACTGTCCTCTTATGGTGTCCATTAAGAATTTGCCCCACTGCCCTGCACCCGTTGGAAACTAGGGCGCCAGTGGTCATAGTAGGTGTTGTACTCACAACATACATTGCACAACATCATGGTCCATTACTGTCAATATTGATAGGTGACGCGTTTCGAGGACTTGGGCCACTTGTGAGGGCATGTCCTCGAAATCAGTCTAAATCTATTGTGGCCATTACTCTGCGCGGTGTTTCCCTTCTCTGATGTTTGACCTTGGACTATATTGTCGTTTGTGAGTACAACAGCCTTTATTTTTTATTAAACAAATTCCCAGTGCGCCATCCTTTTATCCCTGATCACTGTCCTCCTTTGTTGATGTTTTCAGCAAAGGCCCCAGGTTCTCTCCTAGTAGCTTTGACCGCTACGTCTGAACGGTCTCGAATATTATGTCTAAAAAAGAATGATCCACCCCCACTGAAACACAAACTGGACAGAAAAATAGGTTTTACAACATACAAATTGTGTCCTTAGTGTATCATAATATATCCCATATATTTACAGTTTAACTAAAAATACTTAAAAAATAGATAAGAGATAGAGAAAATGCCTACTGCATTATATATTTGGAAAAAAAACCCTAAACTTAAACAAATAATAGTAAAACACTCTTTCAATTTTATTGTAATTACTCACAAAGAGAGAATGCAATGACTGTTTGAACAATGGACATTAAACACAAAGTACCACCAGACTGTATGTCAGTCTTTCAGCCTTAGTTTTGCACAGCTGAAACATTGTCAAATTGGGTTTCAAGGTGGACTTCAGACATTGCAGCCCTCTTTCTGGGGTTGCTGCAGACCCCCCCCCTTGTGCTCTGTCCCTAAACTCAATGCTGCATTTGTTTCTGAATCTCCAACATTTATATGCTTCTGTCACATGATAAAACACCAAAAGTGCCACCCACATGCGATGCTCATTAAACCACACCCCTTTGGATAATGATAGGGAGGAATGGACTGGGCAATGGGGGGACTCACCTGCCTTTTGAGTTAAGACTCCACCCAAGGATCAGCCAGAAAAAATATGGGGTAAAATCAACAATTGTCCTGGTATCTGTCCTGATCCTGTTTCCCTTTGCTGAAATCAACCCTGATCCTGGCTTGTGACCTGACCACATACTGCTACTACGACCATTACTCTGCTTGCTCCCCCGTACCTACCTGCCCAATTGATATTGACCGGCCTGCCTGACGACGCCTTGTATATACTGTTATCTCTGTGGGTGGTTGGTTTGGTTTGTTTGCAACTGTATTATGTTTAGTATTGCCCTGCGTTTATGTTTGTATGTTAGTGTTAATAAATTATATTGTTGTATAAATATCTGAGTCTGCGTTTCCCTGCATCAGTCACAACACTCCTGGTATACTGGGAGCCTGACATTACACCAAGGATTATGACAGAAGTGGCTGCACAGAAGCCATCTTGGCTTGTTGATGGGAATGGATCTTGATGAGGTTGAGTATTTATATCTGCTAGTGTTTGATGACAGGGAGTATGCTATCAAACCTCTGAAGGAGTATCCCCGGATGAATTGCTAGAATGTATGGACTAGTATGTTCTAGTGATCAGGGCACAGTGTTCTCTGAGGTGCAGCACATTGATTGAGGTTTGTGCAGAAGTTGGTTTTCATCTGGTTCCCCGAATGCAGGGATGAATTTTTGCCACCATTTAGTGCAGACCAGGTAGTGAGTCCCTGGTGTGGTTATTAGAGGATGATGTAGGGTTACCTTTTGGAGCGGGTTACTCCACATGTTCACCACAGGGACACTGAGAGATTGTATCAACGCAGTGCAGTCTTTGTCAGACAGGCTTTGTGTAAGCTCAGCTTTTGTTCAACCCTACTGCGACATAGACAGACTTGTTGCACCCGCCCTCAGTCAGCTTACAAAGTACCCAGTCCTGCTTCTAACTCTATTGTATTGACCTCCTGCCCTGCTATCTACCGCATGTCAGTACCCTGTCCCACTCGCGTGCACCTATCCTGCCTTTACCCTGTAAAAAGAGCCACTCTGTAGCAAACTGCTCCTCTCCTGTTCCATCCTCCAGTTCTTCTCTGTCTCCGCTGCCTCCATTCGTTTGCAGACCTGCGTTTACTTGCAGTGCTCCAGTAGTTAAAACCAGAAAAAAAAACATTCTTTCCAACCAATACCATCCTGCCCAGCATGTGAGCCTGCCTTCCGTGACTCGGCCTGAAGCCTCTACTCAGCCCTGAAGCCTTACTCGGCCGGTTGTGCCTCTCTTCGGCCGGATGCCCTCTCTTCGCCGGATGCCTCTATTCGGCCGGATGCTACTCTTCGGCCGGATGCCTCTTTCAGGCCGGATGCCTCTCCTCAGCCTGAAGCCTCTCCTCAGCCTGATGCCTGCATTCAGCCTGATGCCGCTACTCAGCTATGATGTATACTGATCCAGCCCGACGATCCTATTAGGCCAGTTGACTCGATGCCCGCTGTTGATCCAGATGATCCGGTACCTGATCAGTGCCCGCTGTTTTTTTTGTCGTGCCAATTGACTCAGAGCCCGCTGTCTAAGACCCGGTGCCCAGGCCTTGCCAGATGACGCGGTGCCCGCTGGCAGCCAAATGACCTGATGCCTGGTCTGACCAGTGCCCGCTGTCATACTGGTGAACCCGATGCCCGCTGTCGAGCCAGACGATCCAATGCCTGGTGGACCCGGTGCCAATGCCTTGCCAGATGACGCGGTGCCCGCTGACAAGCCAAATGACCTGATGCTGGTGACCCAGTGCCCGCTGTCACTACTGGTGACCCGATGCCCGCTGTCGAGCCAGGACAATCCGGTACCTGAATGACCTCGGAAGCCCACTGCCTTGGCCAGATGATGCGGTCGCTGTCGAGCCTGACCTGATTGGTCAACCAGTGCCCGCTGGTCCAGTCAACTATCTATGTCTGACCCCCCGCGGTAATACCAGTTGATCATGCCGATGCCTGGGAAACAACTGTCCCGCCAAATGACCTGTTGCTGGTGCCCCCCGTCAGACGATCCAAATGTCTGACCCAGGCCCGCGGTATACCCAGTGACTCGTGACTGCTCTTGCGGATGTCGCGGTGCCCGCTGTCGAGCCAAATGACCTGATGCCTGTTGACCACTGTTGCCCGCTGTCCAGTCAGACGTATACAATGTCTGACCAGTGCCCGCAGTCATACCAGTTGACTTGGAGCCCACTGCCTTGCCAGATGAAGCGGTGCCCCCGCTGTCGAGCCAAATGACCTTGATGCCTGGTGACCCGATGCCCCACTATCCAGCCAGACCATGCAATGTCATGACCCAGTGCCTGCGGTCATACCAGTTGACTCGGAGCCCACTGCCTTGCCAGATGACGCGGTGCCCGCTGTCGAGCCAAATGAACCTGAATGCCCCCGATGCCCGCTGTCAGCCAGACCATACAATGTCTACCCAGTGCCTGCGGTCATACAGTTGACTCGGAGCCCACTGGTCGTGCCTGGTGACTCGGTGCCGCCGCTCCGCTGAGGGCCCGAGGACCTGTCGCTCCACCTGGGGGTCCAGGCGCCCGCCGCTCCGCCCTGAGGGCCCGAGGGACCTGTCGCTCCACCTGGGGGTTACCGGCGCCCGCGCTCCGCCTGAGGGCCCGGAGACCTGTCGCTCAATTGGGGGTCCGGCGCCCGCCGCTCCGCCTGAGGGACCGAGACCTGTCGCTCCTCTGGGGGTCCGGCACCCGCGCTCGCCTATGGGCCCGGACCTGTCGCTGCCGCCTGGGGGTCCGGCGCCCGCCGCTCCGCCTGAGGGGCCCGAGACCTGTCGCTCCACCTGGGGGTCCGGCGCCCGCCGCTCCGCCTGAGGGCCCGAGACCCTGTCGCTCCTCCTGGGGGTCCGGCGCCCGCCGCTCGCCTGACGGGCCCGAGACCTGTCGCTCCTCCTGGGGGTCCTCGGCGCCCGCCGCTCCGCCTGAGGGCCCGAGATCCTGTCGCTCCACCTGGGGGTCCGGCGCCGCCGCTCGCCTGAGGGTCCGAGACCTGTCGCCTCCGCCTGGGGGCACGATGCCTGTCGCCCCGCCTGGGGGGCACGATGCCTGTCGCCCGCTGGGGGCTCGATGCCTGTCGCCCCGCCTGGGGACACGATGCCTGTCGCCCCGCCTGGGGGCACGAGACCTGTCGCTCCGCCTGAGGGCCGAGACCTGTCGCTCCTGGGGGTCCGGCGCCCGCCGCTCCGCCTGAGGGCCCGAGACCTGTCGCTCCATCTGGGGGGTCCGGCGCCCGCCGCTCCGCCTGAGGGCCCGAGACCTGTCGCTCCATCTGGGGGTACGGCGGCCCGCCGCTCCGCCTGAGGGATGACCTGTCGCTTTTTCCGCCTGGGGTCGGCGCCCGCCGCCCCGCCTGGGGGCACGGTGCTGTCGCCCCGCCTGGGGGCACGGTGCTGTCGCCCGCTGGGGGCACGGTGCCTGTCGACCGCCTGGGGGCACGGTTGCCTGTCGCCCCGCCCGGGGGCCCGGTGCCTGCCGCCCCGCCCGGGGGGCCCGGTGCCTGTCGCCCCGCCCGGGGGACCGGTGCCTGCCGCCCCGCCCGGGGGCCCGGTTGGTGCCTGCCGCTCCGCCCCCGGGGGGCAGGGGGCCGGTGCCTGCCGCTCCGCCCGGGGGCCCGGTGCTGCGCTCCGCCAGGGGGCCGGTGCCTGACAGCTCCAGCCCGCGGGGCCCGGTGCCTGCCGCTCCGCCCGGGGGCCCGGTGCCTGCCGCTCCGCTGGTGGGCCGCTGCCTGCTGCTTGCCTGGTAATCCGATGTTCTGCCGGAGTCCTGCCCGATGTGCCTCTGCCGGAATCCTGCCCGAGTGCCTCTGCCGATGCCTCTCAATTGCCCGGTGTGCCCTCTGCTGCTCGATGTGCCGCTGCCGGAGTCCAGCCCGGTATTCCACTGCCCGGAGTCCTTGTGCCAGTCTTTGCTATCCGCAGTTGCAGCTGCTGCGGTGGAAACTTTTTTGCCCAGTAGGACTGTTTTCGATCATTGTTGAATGGATCAATGGTGGGTACCTGCCTTTTATCTGAAGCGGGTGCGCCGTCCAATCAACTTTCAGCCAGCTGCATTTGTCTGAGGGATCTGGGCTGACATTAAATCTCTAAAATCACTGCATTCATGCCCAGATCTGCTTGCTGTCTTCTCCACATGATCAATAAACACCTGACCTCTGTACCTAGTGCTTGTACCTGCTGAACCTGGCCATGCATTGCTCTTGACTCCCCCCTATCTGCCCACTCGCCTGCCCACAATATACTGTTATCTGTGGGTGGTTGTTTGGTTTGATGACATTGTTTGTGCGTTTATGTTTGTTGGATAATGAGCTTTTTTAACATATCAAGTCTGCTTCCCTCATCAGTCACATTTGGTCATTCTGACACCGTCATTCTGGTACAGATTCATCTTAGTTTCATCTGTCCAAAGAATGCTTTTCCAGAACTGGTCTAACTTTTTTTAGATGTTTTTTGGTAAAGTCTAATCTGGCCTTTCTATTCTTCAGACTTATGAACAGTTTGCACCTTGTGGTGATCCCTCTGTATTTGCTCTTGTGAAGTCTTCTCTTGATTATAGACCTTGATAATGATACGCCTACCTCCCAGAGAGTGTCCTTCACTTGTCTGGATGCTGTGAATGGGTTTTTCTTTACCATAGAGAGGATCCTGTGATCATCCACCACTGTTGTCTTCCGTGGACGTCCATGCCTTTTTATGTTGCTGAGCTCATCAGTGTGTTCTTCTTTCCTCAGAATGTACCAGACTGTTGATTTGGCCACTCCTAACATTGTTGCTATCTCTCTGATGGATTTGTTTCATTTTTGAAGCCTTATTATGGCCTTTTTCACTTGCATGGACAGCTCCTTTGAACTCATGATGTAGGTTCACAGCAATAGATTCAAAATGCAAATACCACACTTAGAATCAACTCCAGACCTTTTACCTGCTTCATTGATGAAGAAATAACGGAGTAGCTCACACCTGGCCATGAAACAGCTTTTGATTCAATTGTCCAATTACTTTTGGTCTCTTGAAAGAGAAGGGATGGCTACTCTTAAGAGCTATAATTCCTAAACACTTCCTCCAGTTTGGATGTACATACCTTCAAATTAAACCTGAGAGTGTGCACTTTCCGCCCATATCCATTATATAACTATAGCTTCAATATGTTTTGGTAAATACCTGAAAAAAACTAAAATTGTGCCTGTGTCCAAATATATGTGGACCTAACTGTACATATGATTATACTAAATATTAAATTAAATGGTGCAAAATGGCACCCAATGTCAATGTCCGGGCTCAACCTCTAGATTACAGACTAAAAAACTAAACCCATATGAAACTGATACATAGACGCAGACAAACGTAGACAAACATAAATATATAGAGAGTATAAACCTCCTAGTTAATCATAGGAATAGTTAGGTGAGGCAGTATCCCCTAAGGTTCTACTCATTTTAAATAGATACATTGTACTTTTTGGCTAGAATACGACTTTTTAAAATCTTCATGCACAATGTCCTATGCAAGAAGAGCAAGCTGGTAAGAGAAAATGCACTGTGCATTCTACAAGAGAATAAACAAAGCAATAAATGAATTCCACTGTGTGTGTGAAATATTAAAAACTGATTTACACAAGTATCGAAAAAGTTCAACAAAATCCAAAATCGAGGTGCTCTGTGAAAAAAGTATAAACACTCGTAAATACTTTAGTGATGACCCCACCTCCAAAGAGTGCACGCCCTTTTCCAGAAGCTTTAGACCTTCTGTTCACATCCCCTGATGACATCTGTTGGTGACAAAACGTGTGGGGTAGAGTTTGGTGTGCTGACGTCATTGTGCACGCCAGCTGTTGGCGCTCTTTGAGCTTTACATGCTGTTATATCTGTCTACAGCCCTGGCCAAAAGTTTTGAGAATGACACAAATATTAATTTTCACTAAATCTGCTGCCTTAGTTATTATGACGGCAATTTGCATATACTCCGGAAAGTTATTAAGAATGATCAGATGAATTGCAATTAATTGCAAAGTCCCTCTTTGCCATGAAAATGAACTTAATCCCAAAAAAACATTTCCACTGTATTTCAGGCCTGCCACAAAAGGACCAGCTGACATCATGTCAGTGATTCTCTCGTTAACACTGGTGTCAGTGGATGAGTACAAGGCTGGAGATCACTCTGTCATGATGACTGAGTTAGAAACAGACTGGAAGCTTTAAAAGGAGGGTGGTGCTTTGTCCATGATGTTTTTCCTGGAGAAAAGTGGCTTCTTTGCTACCCTTCCATGGTTAACAGAGGAAGAACAATGATTTCAACTGATATTCTGCAATAGTTACAGAGATTGGACTGCATCAGGGTAAAGTCCTTTTCTCTGATGAATTCCCTTTTCCGATTGTTTACGGCATCCATAAAACACCTTGTCCAGAGAAGAAAAGGTGAGCGCTATCAGTCTTGTGTCATGCCAACAGTAAAGTATCCTGAGACCATTCATGTGTGGGGTTGCTTCTCATCCAAGGGAGTGGGCTCACTCACAATATTGCCTAAGAACACAGCCATGAATAAAGAATGATACAAAAACATATACACCATAGTAACATCTGACAAAAAGATCTAAAAACACTGAAGCAGCAGACTTTGTGAAAATTAATATTTGTGTCATTCTCAAAACTTTTGGCCAGGTTTGTGAAAATTAACATTTGTGTCATTCTCAAAACATTTGGGAGTTGTATATGTAACTAGGGTTGTATATTGTGAGTATGGTACCTTTCAAAAATATATTAAAACTCTGTTAAAAGGTTTTACACTATCAATGCTGTCTCTTCCTTTCCCATGGCCCTTGTACTTTTTTACTGAGGAAATGCCATATCTAAGTGTCGGTTTTGGACCAAAAGGCATATTGAGTATTCCTTGATGTGGCAGATACATAGGATTACTTCTATGTGATTTTTTAAATTTTCAGAGGATCTAAAGGTTCTGGCAGAAGGCATTCATTCTTGGGAGGTGGTGGCATCAATGAAGTATTCATGAATGTTTATACCCTCATTTTTGGGTTTTGTTGGATTTTTCTTTGGACGTTTTTGGCATTTGTATATGTCAGTTTTTCATAATTCACACAATGTGGCACTGATGTATTACTTTGTTTATTCTATTGTATTGTTGAGATATTTAAAGGAAATGTGCTGCACTATATTTATAGACAAGTTAACAGATGCATACTGATGCTAATTTATTTAGTCTCCCTGCAAGCCCCCTGTAAGCTTTAATGACTTCTGGCCATAAAAAGGTTCGAGAAAAGACCATCCCCTTAACAGCAGTCACAATAAAGCAAGATGCACCTGGAATCAATATCAACAATTAATGTTATATGATTGTTACCTGTCTCATCAATACACACACTGGAGTACCTTTTATTTTATTTTAAAATGTTTCAAAGAGATACTGAGAATGGAAATATTTCACCATTTTTGCATGAATTATTTTGGGGGGGGAGAAAACTGTAAAATATTATCCTTTAACATCTCCTGACAGATATCCATATGTACAACAAGAGAGGGAGGAAAATCACCTTGAATGATTTAAAATGTGCCCCATAATTGTCTCAATAAGGCAAGAGTTCCGGCATGAAGCATCGGCGTCAGCTACATTAAAGAATTGAAAATATCGGGATTATGTGAACATTTGGTTGGCATTATTCCCAGTGCACAAACCACTATAAAAATAAACTTTTTATAAAGGGATTTAGCCTATCGTAACAAGGGAAAATTTCTTCCTTTATAGAGAAGATTGAATTGCCGGATTCTGAAATCAGATGCAATGTTGAAGCAGCTACTTGCTTATCATCTGTCCATCTAG